GTCTTGCTTGCCCTTGAAAGGTGAGTGGAGAGAGTCTCGTGTCCATACCTGTCCCTTTTTTTTTTCTCCTCTCTCTTCTAGTTAGCCTGGTGAACTTTCCCCACAGGGCCTCAAGCCTCATTTCCTCTAGGCTCCTCCTTCTGCTTTCCCACCGGTGTCTTGGGCTACTGAGGTTCTGGCTCACCTCCCTTTCCAGCACTGGTGCATAGATTCTATGGCTGGGGTCCCGAGCCATGGGCGGCCATGCCCTCCACGTAAGTCCACCATGAACCAGCAGTTCTGGAAGAGTTTCCTCTGCTGTTTCTTCCCTAACTCTTCCTTGAAACTGCAGTATCTCCACTTTTATTAAACTGTCTTTTCCCAGACTGTCAATGTGCTACCTTCCTCTTCCGCTGTCTTGCCCCAAGTCTCTGTAACCAGTTTTAGAAGATTGCCCTGAGCATGGCTTTCCTTTTGATCCTGATGCTATGTATGGATTGTGTGACATCAAAAAGCATATCGAAATTTTCCCAGTCACTGTCAGTAATTTCTTCTTGAAAATCTTGACCAATATTTAGTATACATGCAGCTTCAGAAAATTTCTGTGAGCTTTTTCCTGTTTTCTGAATAGTAAAATTACACTAAATCAGACTTCATGTGCTAATAAGTTTCTTAAAATATAAACAAAAATATGACCACATATAAGCAGAAATGTGAAGCATAACCTTATGATCGCCAATGAATTCACTTGCATGATTCCCAGGACTATTTTTAAAAAATATTTATTTATTTGAAAGTCAGAGTTACACACAGAAGGAGAGGCAGAGAGAGAGAGGTCTTCCAACTTCTGGTTCACTCCACTGATGGTCACAATGGCCGGAGCTGCCCCAACCTGAAAGCAGAAGTCAGGAGCTTCTTCCTGGTCTCCCATGTGGGTGCAGGGACCCAAGACTTGGGCCATCTTCTATCACTTTTCTAGGCCATAACAGAGAGCTGGATTGGATGGGGATCAGCCGGGACTTGAACTGGCACCCATATGGGATGCCTGCACTGGAGGTGGCAGCTTTACCCACTATGCCACAGCACTGGCTCTTGGAGGACTTTTTTTTTTTTTTTTTTTTTTAGTGTCATCAACTTCGGGGCTAAGATGCAATTCATAGGCATAGATCATGTTTATAGGAGCTTTTTTTCTAAGATTTTTAAAAAGTATTTGAAAGTGTTTTATATATATATATATATAGAGAGAGAGAGAGAGAGAGAGGGAGACACACTGATCTTCCAGCTGCTGGATCACTACCCCAGAATGCTACAATAAGCAGGATGAGGCCAAGCACTTCTTCTGGGTCTCCTGTATTAGTAGCATTTACCCAAGTACTTGGGACTTCTTCCAGTGCTTTTCTCAGTCCACTAGAAGGGAGCAGGATCAAAAGCAGAGCAGCCAGAATACAAAGCATATGGGGTTGCTTGCATTGCAGATGGAAATTTTACTTGTTATGTGGCAGTGCAGGCCTATATTTATGGAAACTTTTACATGACTGAAATTCAATTAATTTTATTTTGCACTTTAATGGAACTTTCCTGCTCACCAGGGTGTATCAGAATTTGATGTAGGACAAATCAGAAAATGCAATAACATCATGGCTTAACAAATAGCCATTTGATTTATAATTCTAATTCAATATTTTGTGATGGGCTCAGATGGGCAGTTCCTATGATCAGCCTGTGATCAGAAATGAGGGTTTAGTCATCTTAGGAGCTGATTGACACTCATGACTTAGAGATGGCTTCATTTAAATGGCTGGTGGTTTGTGATGAATCTTGGTAAGATCCTATCTCTTCAATGGGCAGGACCCAGTGCTTTCTAAAAGATAAGGAAAATCTGACAAGACAAATACTTTGCAACCTATCTTTTTCTATCACATTTACTGATATCCCAGGGGGTTAAGAAAATGAAAAATGAAATCCAGAGTCTTATGAAGGGATGGATAAAGGGAATGGTTTCATTTAGAATCATTACTGGTAAAGTGTACTGCATTAAATATACATTATGTATATATATATATTTTTTTTGACAGGCAGAGTGGACAGTGAGAGAGAGAGACAGAGAGAAAAGTCTTCCTTTGCCATTGGTTCACCTTCCAATGGCCGCCGCGGCCGGCACACCGTGCCAAAGGCAGCAGCCAGGTACTTCTCCTGGTCTCCCATGGGGTGCAGGGCCCAAGCACTTGGGCCATCCTCCACTGCACTCCCGGGCCACAGCAGAGAGCTGGCCTGGAAGAGGGGCAACCAGGCCAGAATCCGGCACCCTGACTGGGACTAGAACCTGGTGTGCTGGCACCGCAAGGCAGAGGATTAGCCTATTGAGCTGCGGCGCTGGCCCAAAATAACTTTCTTTAGTGTAAAATTTAGTGACAGTATAATGTTTATCTCTTCAATAACTTTATTTATTTGAACAATCACCCTTAAATTTTACTATCTTAGTATTACATTATCTTAGTATTACATTACTATTTTACAAAATTTGTAGACAAAAGATTAATACACTGAGGCTTAATCTCTACTACTTAATAGAAGTGGATGTGCTTTCTTATATATTTCCACGTTTAAATGTTTATTCCTCCACAGGGAAGCTGATGTTTCCTCAGTTAATGTATTCATTACTCTTTATTCATTGTATCACATTTTTTCTTTTTTCTAGTTCAGTGTAAAAGGAAACCAGGTAAGTTTTCTTTTAACTCCTTCCATTTATCTTCTCTTCCAGGTATAATTTGGGTACCTCCACATATTTTCAAAACTAAACAAAATTATTACATCACCTGTAAAAGGTTTTCTTAATTATTCCTCAGCTTGCTGTCAGTTTTCATTTTAGGAGAATTTTAATAATTTATTAATTAAAATGGAAAAATAAACATAAAATTCACTCTTAGGGAGTGTACACAAACAAGATGAATGATGAATTTGCCATGATTATAAAACATTACAATCATCTGAGATACAGCAATTTGGCCTCTGGTCTTTCTGTTGCCATAGCAAAATATACATGTGTTACATGTTTTGAGTTGAAACTTACAGTACGATTTGCTAAATTTTTTGGGTCATGATGTCTGAAATAGCAAAGATGATGTAGTGATCAGTGTTTTCATGCTACCCTGGAAATAAACACTTAGCATTCTGCAAGGGTAAGAGTTACATAGTATTAAAAAACACAAATCAGTTAAGCTTGTATTTGAATTGTTAGAGTAATGCAATCCTTAATTGTTTTGAGAAGCTGAATTTGATTCAGGGATAGGATCAGGAATGTGTGGGGAAAAGAATGTACTGCAGGTTCTTTTATTTTTTTAAGATTTATTTATTTATTTGAAAGGCAGAGCTAGAGAGCTTGGGAGAGATGAGCAGAAAGAGACTCCTTCCATCTACTGGTGCAATCCCCAAATGAACATAATGGCTGAGACTGGTTCAGACCAAAGCCAGGAGCCTGGAATTCCATCTAGGTCTCCCATATTAGTTGAAGGAGCCCAAATATTTAAGCAACATTTCACTGATCTTTCAGGAACTTTAGCAGAGAGCTAGATTGGAGTGGAGTACCCTGGACTCAAATAGTATGATACCATGAGATGCCAGCATTGCAATTGGAGGCTTAACTGTCTGCACCACACTGGTGCCTACTGCAAGTTCTTAAACAAATCTCTATGCATTTCTCTCAGTCAGTCACAAATCCAGATTACACTGTACACTTTCCCAAGTTCTGTTTTTGGGCAATTAATTCCATTGTTTTTACCTTAATTTAATTTTAATAATGTTATCTCAGTTCTTCAAATGTAAAATAAGCATAGTCAAAATCAAAAGATATTTTCTATTCTTTGTCTTACTTGAATATTCTCTCTTATTTAAAAATAATTATGGGCTTGATTTAGAAAGAAGTTGATGGACCAAGAGAGAAATGAAGAGAGAGCTCCCATGCACTTATTCACTCCATAAATACCCATACCAAGAAAGGTTGGGCAGGACTGAAGCCAGAAGTCAGGAATGGAGTCTAGCTCTTTCTCATTGGTGGCATCACTACTGCTTCTGCAGCATTAGCTGGGAGCTGGAAACTGGAACTGGCACTGGAAATTGAACCTAGGTACTTTGAGGTAGAAGTAGGATATCTTAGATGGCATCATAAACACCAAGATTAATGCCTGCCCTCTTTTTTAAAATATTTTTTCTCTGCCATATTTGAAGTGACTTTGCATGGTGTTTTTCTGAAAATTCTTCTGTGTTCACTCCCAACATAGCTCCACTGATGGTTTCTTGTCTTTTCACCTGAATACTCTACATTCTTCCCCTTAACATAGCTTATTGAAGAGTCAATATTTTCTTCCTTTCAACCTGCTGTGCAATTCCCCTTGACATATGTGGCCCCTTGTGACCTGAAACTCCTGTTTTCTTCCAGTTGTGGCATTTTTCACAGTCTTTAGACCATAGGTTTGACTCCCTGCTGAATGCTTCTGTGTGGCTGTCCAAATGCTCAATAATTCTAAAATGAAAACCCATCCTTCCTTCTTCCTTCATACCCATGTACAAGATGAAAACTGTCAGTCTTTGTTTTGTGACAGAGTTAATATGTTGACCAGAAATGTTCTTTTACAGATGATGCTAACATTTGAAGACCTGGCTATTTACTTTACCTGGGAGGAATGGCAGAACATGAATAAAGCTCAGAAAATTCTGTACAGGGATGTGATGTTGGAGACCTACAATAGCCTGCTTTTCTTGGGTGAGTGACACCCATCACATATCCAATGATAGCATTTTCTTGCTATTTGAAAAATAAGTGAACACTTTATAAAGTTTAATGATGGGCAGGTATAGAATTTGATTCCATAAATAATCTGTATGTCTACCATCTAGGAAAGGATCCAAATTGGAACATTTGTTGCATAGCTCCTGGAATAAGCTGTAGTCTTTTAAATAACCCAAGATAGCAGTTTTACAAAATCTTACATTGTTTGCATTAAATAGGACACTGCATCACTAAACCTGATTTGATCTTTAAGTTGGAGCAAGGAGGAGAGCCATGGATGGTGAACAAATGCCTAAATCAGAGCCTTCCAGGTCAGTACGCACATAACAGATGTTGACTGATGTTCTTTCCATGAAATTTTCCCAAGTGTTACTCCTGATGACACCTGGTTTTGTGCATCAGACAAGGGATTCTAGAGTATCTAAGGATGCCATTATATCTCTAACTCTTTTTTCTTGATGAAGATGATCTTTGATTAAAAAAAATTCTAATCTTTTTCTGATGTTACTAAGGGTTTTTCTAGGTTAGATATATTCCCCAGATTCTAACTTGTCCTTCTATAATAACTTTTCCTTCATGCATTTATTCTATTCTTCAGTTCTTTTTTTTTAAGATTTATTTATTTTGCTTGAAAGAGTTACACAGAAAGAGAATGAGAGGTAGAGAAAGGTCTTCCATCTGCTGGTTCACTCCCCAGTTGGCCACAATGGCTGGAGCTATGCTGATCCAAAACCAGGAGCCAGGAGCTTCTTCCAGCTTGGACCATCCTCCACTGTTCTCCCAGGACATAGCAGAGAGCTGGATAGGAAGTGGAGCAGCTGGGTCTTGAACCGGCACCCATTGGGGATGCCAGCACTGCAGGCGGGGATGTAGCCACCATGCCACAATGCCAGCCTGTCTTCATTTCTTATAAGTTGGGCAAGTTATAGAGACTTGTTTCAGATTGAGTCCCCACTCATGGTTTTGGCCAGGCACAGAGCTTGCTATTTTAAGCATCTCACAACTGAACCAATAAATGTGAACTCTTTCTCTTTCTCTCTCTCTTTTCTCTTTCTCTGTGCCTTTCAAATAAAATAAGAAAAAAAATAGGTTGCTAGAAACATTGGAGGAGAGAGCCTGTGGCTGGCAATCTTCTGTTTCATTCTCCCTTTTTGTCTAATTCTCCATCTCTCTGACTCTCAAGTATGTAAATGAATAAGTAAATGCTAAGAAATGGTCAGAAGTAGGCCTCTGTGCAATGACATCAGAAACCCTGAAGCTAAGCATGAACTTATGTAAAAACATGAAAATAAGTGATCCTAAACTCACCAAGAAAGTCTTGAGATTCTGAATCCCAAGGTCAAGTAACTTCATGGGTTCATGTTGAATGTCTCAGATTTGTTTAAAAGTTAGAAGCATGAATTCTGTCTCAAATAAACAATAAAGATAACAAAGGCATAGGAAATGAAAATTTCTTTGAAAATAAGAGACAGCTGATCAAATGCCTCCAGAAACTCAAATTATCACACAAAAAAATGTTTATAGAAAAAACCTGAGGGGATATAACTAGGGCTCATGATTTCAGAATGAGCTAGAAAATACTTTTCAAAGAAAGTAAACACACTCTGGGCTGCAGAAACAAATTCTTTAAGCTGTCAGAGAGTGGTAGGGTGGCACATTGCTATATTTCTGTAACTGCTGTAGTTCTGAGAAGCTGAAGATGTTAGATTTCCTTAGGAATATGGGGAAGCTGTCATAGAGTGAAAATAAGTTTCTCATTTGCAAAATCCCACAAATGCTGTTTACCTGGGAAGACTGAACATGAGACAACCATAAATTCAAATCTTGTTCCTTAAATGTGATCCTGTTTAGAGTACAGACACATTTCACTCTTCTTCACCTGTAAGTAAATGATCCAGTAAAACATTCCAATATTTATGGTTGAAAAAGTACAGAAAAAAACTGGTTGCTAGGCAATGGGGGAATATATTTATTAAATATTTGTCCATTCTTTAAAATCTTATAGTTGTCTCATCAATGCTAAAGACTAGAATGACAATAAGAGGAGGAGAGACAGAGATTGTTTATTAGCTCACTCCCCTAATGCCTGTGAAATTTAGGTCTGACTAGTCTGAAGCCAAAAGTCTGGAATTTCATCTAATCTTCCCTAACATATCACAGGGTCCCAAGCACTTGAACCATTATTTGCTGCCTTCTAGTTTACATAAGCTAGAGCTTTATTGGAATCGGAGTAGCCAGGGCTCATACTGGCACTATTTTGGGATGAAGGCACCATAAGCAGCAAATTAATACATCTAACCAGGAAAGCAATTCTGCCATACTTGAATAAAATTCAAGTAGTAAACATGATCATGATTGAAAATTAAGAAATCTATTGGTACAACCTAATATATCAATGTCTTAAGGAAAAAAAAATCATAATGAGCATAAATAAGTGTCTTCCACTGATTATGTTAAAATCTTATTCCACTTAGATAACAAGAAACTTCATTCCCTTTACATCAGTATTCCAGGAGAAAGCACATATATGTGATTCAGTGATTTTTGTTTTCCTCATTTCAGTTGCCATGAAAAGTGATGACATAATTAGGATGAACCAGGAAATTCAAGAAAAAGATTTCAAGCAGGATGTTATGACAAATAGCAAGACATCAACTCCCAAGAGAGTTGAATTAATAAAAAGACTTAATTTAAGTTCAAGTCATGTTTCAAAACTGATTATCAAAAGGGAAGTTATTCAGCAATGAAACCTGAGGAATGCAATGTATGTCACAATGTGCATCCCCATGGTGGGCCTGATGAGCTGCAAGCTGGAGAGAAGCTTGATGCCGCTAAGGTACCTGGGAACTCTGTCCAGTGCTGTGAGCATCTTAGTGAGGATCACAAGATTCAGACTGTGAAGCCTTCATTTGAACATAGTGGACAGGGGAAAGACTTCAAAAGGAAGAAGATATTCTTTAGATTTTGCACGGTCCATATGGGAGACCCCTGTAATAAGTCAACAATTACTGTTGGAAAGACAACTCAAATAGAAGAAACTCTTCATAAAAATACTAACCTCAGTAAGCATCAACAAATCAACACAGGAGAGAAACTCTATGAAGATATGGGGTATGTGGAACCTCTCATTTACAAATCAGATCTTCCAATAGATCAGAGACAACATACAGAGAAAAAACCTTATGCATGTCAGCCTTGTAGGATCTCCCATGTGTGTAATGAATGTGGAGAAACCACGTACCAGAAGTTAGATCTCATTAGACATCAGAAAATTCACACAAAGAAGAAACCTCATGAATGTAATGAGTTCCAAAAAACCATTTTCCAGAAATCATACCTCATAACACAGCAAAGAATTCATACAGAGGATAAACCTCATGATTGTAAAGACTGTAGAAAAGCCTTTGGCAAGAAGTCACAGCTTGTAGTGCATCAGAGAATTCACACAGGAGAGAAACCTTATGAATGCAATGGCTGTGGAAAAGCCTTTCTGTGCAAGTCACAGCTCATCAAACATAAGGGAATCCACAAAGGTGAGAAACCTCATGAATGTAATGACTGTGGAAAAGCCTGTGGCTTGAAGACAGACCTAATCAAACATTGGAAAATTCACACCACGGAGAAACCTCATGAATGTAATGACTGCGGAAAAGTCTTTGGCTCTAAGTCACAACTCATAACCCATCAGAGAGTTCACACAGGGGAGAAACCTTATGAATGCAAGGAATGTGGAAAAGCCTTTGGCAAGAAGTCAACAATCACTAGCCATCAGAGAATTCACACAGGGGAAAAACCTTATGAATGTAATGACTGTGGCAAAGCCTATGGCTATAAGTCTGACCTCATCAAGCATCAGAGGATTCACACAGGGGAGAAACCTTATGAATGTAATGACTGTGGCAAAGCCTATGGCTATAAGTCTGACCTCATCAAACATCAGAGGATTCACACAGGGGAGAAACCTTATGAATGTAATGACTGTGGCAAAGCCTATGGCTGTAAGTCTGACCTCATCAAACATCAGAGAATTCACACAGGGGAGAAACCTCATGAATGCAAGGAATGTGGAAAAGCCTTTGGCTATAAGGCAGATCTCCTCAAACATCAGAGAATTCACACAGGAGAGAAACCTTATGAATGTAATGACTGTGGCAAAGCCTTCACCTGTAAGTCACATCTCATAATCCATCAGAGAATTCACACAGGGGAGAAACCTTATGAATGCAAGGAATGTGGAAAAGCCTTTGGCAAGAAGTCAACAATCACTAGACATCAGAGGATTCACACAGGGGAGAAACCTTATGAATGTAATGACTGTGGAAAAGCCTTCAGCTATAAGTCATATCTCATAATCCATCATAGAATTCACACAGGGGAGAAACCTTATGAATGCAAGGAATGTGGAAAAGCCTTTGGCAAGAAGTCAACAATCACTAGACATCAGAGGATTCACACAGGGGAGAAACCTTATGAATGTAATGACTGTGGAAAAGCCTTCACCTGTAAGTCATATCTCATAATCCATCAGAGGATTCACACAGGGGAGAAACCTTATGAATGCAAGGAATGTGGAAAAGCCTTTGGCAAGAAGTCAGCAATCACTAGCCATCAGAGGATTCACACAGGGGAGAAACCTTATGAATGTAATGACTGTGGCAAAGCCTACGGCTGTAAGTCTGACCTCACCAAACATCAGAGGATTCACACAGGGGAGAAACCTTATGAATGTAATGACTGTGGCAAAGCCTTTGGCCGTAAGTCGGACCTTACCAAACATCAGAGGATTCACACAGGGGAGAAACCTTACGAAATGTAATGACTGTGGCAAAGCCTATGGCTGTAAGTCTAACCTCATCACGCATCAGAGAATTCACACAGGAGAGAAACCTTATGAATGTAATGACTGTGGCAAAGCCTTCGGCTGTAAGTCTGACCTCATCAAACATCAGAGAATTCACACAGGGGAGAAACCTTATGAATGCAAGGAATGTGGAAAAGCCTTCACCTGTAAGTCACATCTCATAATCCATCAGAGAATTCACACAGGGGAGAAACCTTATGAATGCAAGGAATGTGGAAAAGCCTTTGGCCAAAAGTCACATCTCATAATCCATCAGAGAATTCACACAGGGGAGAAACCTTATGAATGTAATGACTGTGGCAAAGCCTACGGCTATAAGTCTGACCTCATCAAACATCAGAAGATTCACACAGGGGAGAAACCTCATGAATGCAATGACTGTGGCAAATCCTTTGGCTATAAGTCACAGCTCATAATCCATCAGAAATTCACACAGGGGAGAAACCTTATGAATGTAATGACTGTGGCAAAGCCTACAGCTGTAAGTCACAACTCATAATCCATCAGAGAATTCACACAGGGGAATAACCTTATGAATGTAATGACTGTGGCAAAGCCTTTGGCCAGATGTCACATCTCATAATCCATCAGAGAATTCACATAGGGGAGAAACCTTAAGAATGTAATGAATCCTGAAAAGCCTTTGGCTGGAGTCAGTAATCATCAAACATCAGAGAATTCACACAGGGGAGAAACCTTATGAATGTAATGACTGGAAAAGCCTTTGGCAAGAAGTCACATCTTATAATCCATCAGAAAATTCACACAGGACCCTAAGCATCTGTGCATATACATTTATTTATACTTGCATCTTCCTGTTGAATTGATCCCTTAATCATTATATAGTGCCATTCTTTGTCTCTTTTAGTAGTTTTTGTTTAAAGTCTCTTTCCTTTGCTATTAGCATTGCTACATCTGTCCTGTTTTGTGTTCCATTGGCATAGAATATCTTTTCTCATCCTTTCACTTTCAGTCTGCATGCATCGTTGTTGGTGAGATGTTTCTTGTAGGCAGCAAGCAGATTGGTTTTGTTTTTAATCCATTCAGCCAGTCTGTACCTTTTAACTGGAGAGTTGAGGCCATTTACATTCAAAGTGACTGTTGATAAGTAATGACTTTGTCCTGACATTGTTTCATAAAGTTTCCTATTGTTTACTTTGGATTTCTTTTGTACTTTTGCTCGAGTATTTTTTTTTTTTTGCTTTCAGATTTTTGAAAGATTATTTATTTGTTTGAAAGGCAGAGTTACATAGAGCCAGAGTCAGAGGCCAGAGAGAGAGAGGTCTTCAATCCACTGGCATACTCCCAAATTGGCTGCACTGGCTGGAGCTGGGCCAATCTGAAACCAGGAGTCTGGAGCTTATTTCAGGTCTCCCATATGGGTGCAGGGGCCCAAGGACCTGAGCCCTCTTCAGCTGCTTTTCCAGGCACATTAGCAGGGAGTTGGATCAGAAGTGCAGCAGTCGGGACTTGAATCAGTGCCCATAAGGGATGCTGGTGCTGTAGGTGGTGGCATTATCTGCTATAACACAGTGCCAGCCCTTCTCATTCTTTTATCATGATGACTATCTTTCTGTGTTTCTTAGTGTAGCACTTCATTTAAAACATCTTTTGTAATGCCACTTTGTGATTGAAAATTCTTCCTACTCTTGTTACAAATGGTCTTTATTTCATTGTCATTCTTAAATGAGAGCTTTGCAGGATACAGTATTCTGGGTTGACAATGTTGTATTAAGACTTAGACTATGTCTTGCACTCCTTGCCTGTAGGGTTTCTTATGAGAAGTCCATTGTAAGTATAATTGGAGATCCTCTGAAAGTAATTTGGCATTTTTTTGTGCACCTTTTTGGAATCTCTTTATATACAGAAGATCAGTTTAGCATACATTAAGTAAAGATTTCAACAGTTTGCTCCCACACAGAAACATAAAGTGAAAAATACTGTTTGAGTACTAGTTATAGCATTAAATATCAATGTATAGCACACTAAGGACAAAGATCCTACATGAGGAGTAAGTGCACAGTGACTCCTGTTGTTGACTTAACAAATTGACACTCTTGTTTATGGCATCAGTAATCACCCGAGGCTCTTGTCATGAGCTGCCAAGGCTATGGAAGCCCCCTGAGTTCACTGACTCTGATCATATTTAGACAAGGCCATGGTCAAAGTGGAAGTTCTCTCCTCCCTTCAGAGAAAGGTACCTCCTTCTTTGATGACCCATTCTTTCCACTGGGATCTCACTCCTGGAGATCTCATTTAGGCTTTTTTTTTTCCCCCAGAGTGTCTTGGCTTTCCATGCCTGAAATACTCTCATGGGCATTTCAGCCAGATCCGCATGCCTTAACGGCTGATTATGAGGACAGAGTGCTGTTAGGACATTTGCCATTCTATGGGTCTGCTGTGTATCTCACTTCCCATGTTGGATCATTCTCTCCCTTTTTTATTTTATCAGCTAGTATTTGCAGATGCTATTCTTGTTTATGTGATCCCTTTGGTTCTTAGTCCTATCATTATGATCAATTGTGAACAGAAATTGATCACTGGGACTAGTGAGATGGCATTGGTACATGCCACCTCGATGGGATTGAATTGGAATCCCCTGGTATGTTTCTAACTCTACCGTTTGAGGTAAGTCAGCTTGAGCATGTCCCGAATTGCACATCTCTTCCCTCTCTTATTCCCACTCTTATATTTAACAGCGATCACTTTTCAGTTAAGTTTCAGCACTTAAGAATTGTGTATTGATTACAGTATTCAACCAAAAGTATTAAGTAGAACAAACAAAAAAAAATACTAAGAGGGATAACATATTAAGCTGCTCATCAACAGTCAGGGTGAGGGCTGATCATGTCACCATTTCTCATAGTGTTCATTTCACTTTAACAGGTTTCCTTTTTGGTGCTCAGTTAGTTGTCACCTATCAAGGAGAACAAGTGGTATTTGTCCCTTTGGGATTGGCTTATTTCACTCTACATAATGTTTTCCAAATTCCTAACAGGGATCACTTTTCAGTTAAAATTTAAACACCTAAGAATAATTGTGTGTTAATTACAGAGTTCAACCAATGGTACTAGAACAAAAAAAAATACTAAAATGCATAAAGTATTACATTGTACATCAACCGTCAGGACAAGAGCTGATCAAGTCACTGTTTCTCATAGTGTCCATTTCACTTCAACAAGTTTCCCCTTTGGTGCTCAGTTAGTTGTCGCAGATCAGGGAGAACAGATGATATTTGTCCCTTTGGGACTGGCTTAATTCACTCAGCATGATGTATTCCAAATTCCTCATCTTGTTGCAAATGACTGGGTTTTGTTGTTTTTGACTGCTGTATAGTATTCTATAGAGTACATGTCCCATAATTTCTTTATCCAAGTCTACTGTTGATGGGCATTTGGGTTGGTTCCAGGTCTTAGCTATTGTGAATTGAGCTGCAATAAACATTAATGTGCAGACTGCTTTTTTGTTTGCCCATTTAATTTCCTTTGGGTAAATTCCAAGGAGTGGGATGGCTGGGTTGAATGGTAGGGCTTATTCAGATTTCTGAGGAATCTCCAGACTGACTTCCATAGTGGCTTGACCAGTTTGCATTCCCACCAACACTGGGTTAGTGTCCCTTTTTCCCCACATCATCTCCAGCATCTGTTGTTGGTAGATTTCTGAATGTGAGCCATTCTAACTGGGGTGAGGTGGACCTCATTGTGGTTTTGATTTGCATTTCCCTGATTGCTAGTGATCTTGAGCATTTTTTTATGTGTCTGTTGGCCCGTTGGATTTCCCCTTTTGAAAAATGTCTATTGAGGTCCTTGGCCCATCTCTTAAGTGGGTTGTTTGTTTTGTTTTGTGGAGTTCCTTGATTTCTTTGTAGATTCTGGTTATCAACCCTTTATCAGTTGCATAGTTTGCAAATATATTTTCCCATTCTGTCGGTTGTCTCTTCACTCTCCTGACTGTTTCTTTTGCAGTACAGAAACTTCTCAATTTGATGCAATCCCAAATGTTAATTTTGGCTTTGACTGCCTGTGCTTCTGGGGTGTTTTCCAAGAATTCATTGCCAGTACCTATATCTTTCAGGGTTTTTCCAATGCTCTCTAATAATTTGATGGTGTCAGGTTGTAGATTTAAGTCTTTAATCTATGTAGAGTGAATTTTTGTGTAAGGTGTAAGGTAGGGGTCTTGCTTCATGCTTCTGCATGTGGAAATCCAATTTTCCCAGCATCACTTGTTGAATAGACTGTCCTTACTCCAGGGATTGGTTTTGGACCCTTGATCAAATATGAGTTGGCTGTAGATGTATGGATTGATTTCTGGTGTTTCAATTCTGTTCCATTGGTCTATCCATCTGTTTCTGTACCAGTACCATGCTGTTTTGATTACAACTGCCCTGTAGTATGTTTTGAAATGTGGTATTGAGATGCCTCCAGCTTTGTTTTTGTTGTACAAGATTGCTTTAGCTATTCGAGGTCTCTTGTGTCTCCATATAAATTTCAGCACCATTTTTTCCAGATCTGAGAAGAAGGTCTTCGGTATCTTGATTGGTATTGCATTGAATGTATAAATTTCTTTTGGGAGAATGGATATTTTGGTTATATTGATTCTTCCAATCCATGAGCATGGAAGATTTTTCCATTTTTTGGTATCCTCTTCTATTTCTTTCTTTAAGGTTTTGTAATTTTCATCATAGAGATCCTTAACGTCCTTGGTTAAGTTTATTCCAAGGTATTTGATTGTTTTTGTAGCTATTGTGAATGGGATTGATCTTAGAAGTTCTTCCTCAGCCGTGGCATTGCCTGTGTATACAAAGGCTGTTGATTTTTGTGCATTGATTTTATACCCTGCTACTTTGCCAAAATCTTCTATGAGTTCCAATAGTCTCTTAGTAGAGGTCTTTGGATCCCCTAAATAAAGAATCATATCATCTGCAAAGAGGGATAGTTTGAATTCTTCCTTCCCCATTTGTATCCCTTTAATTTCTTTTTCTTGCCTAATAGCTCTGGCTAAAACCTCCAGAACTATATTGAATAGCAGTGGTGAGTGGGCATCCCTGTCTGGTACCAGATCTCAGTGGAAATGCTTCCAACTTTTCCCCATTCAATAGGATGTTGGCTGTGGGTTTTTCATAGATTGCTTTGATTGTATTGAGGAATGTTCCTCCCATACCCAGTACGCTTATAGTTTTCATCATGAAAGGGTGTTGTATTTTATCAAATGATTTCTCGGCATCTATTGCAATAATCATATGGTTTTTCTCGGCATCTATTGTAATAATCATATGGTCTGTTAATATGGTGTATCATAATGATTGATTTGTGCACATTGAACCATCCCTGCATACCAGGGATAAATCCCACTTGGTCTGGGTGGTTGATCTTTCTGATGTGTTGTTGCATTCTATTGGCGAGAATTTTATTGAGGATTTTTGCATCTATGTTCATCAGGGATATTGGTTTGTAATTCTCTTTCAGTGCTGCATCTTTTTCCGGCTTAGGAATTAAGGTGATGCTGGGTTCATAGAAAGAATTTGGGAGGACTCCCTCTTTTTCGATTGTTCTGAATAGTTTGAGAAGAATTGGAGTTAGTTCTTCTTTAAATGTCTGGTAGAATTCAGCAGTGAATCCTTCTGATCCTGGGCTTTTCTTTGTTGGGAGGACCTTTATTACTGTTTCAATTTCTGTCTCAGTTATGGGTCTATTTAGGTTTTCTATGTCTTCCTGGTTCAATTTAGGTAGGTTGCATGTGTCCAGGAATCTATCCATTTCTGATAGGTTTCCCTGTTTGCTGGCATACAAGTCCTTGTAGTAATTTCTGATGATTCTTTTGATTTCTGTGGTGTCTGTTGTTACATTTCCTTTTCATCTCTGATTTTATTGATTTGGGTCTTTTCTCTTTTTTTAGTTAGCTGGGCCAATGGGGTGTCAATTGTGTTTATTTTTTCAAAAAACCAGCTCCTCGTTTGGCTGATTTGTTGTAATGTTTTTTTTTTTTTTGATTCATTCCTGTTGATTTCTTCTCTGATTTTAATTATTTCTCTTCTCCTAGTAGATTTGGGTCTGGTTTGCTGCAGATTTTCTAGATCCTTGAGATGAGTTGAAAGCTCATCTATTTGGTGCCTCTCCAATTTCTTGATATAGGCACCTATTGATATAAAGTTTCCTCTTAACACTGCTTTTGCTGCATCCCATAAGTTTTGGTATGTTGTGCTGTTATCCTCATTTACTTCCAGAAAATTTTTGATTTCTCGTTTAATTTCTTCTATGACCCATTGTTCATTCAGGAGCATGTTGTTCAATCTCCATGTGTTTGCATATGCTCTAGGGATTCCTGAGTTGCTAATTTCCAACTTCATTCCTTTATGGTCTGAGAAGCTGCATGGTATGATTCTAATTCCTCTGAATTTGCTGAGACTTGCTTTATGGCCTAGTATGTGGTCAATCCTAGAGAAGGTTCCATGTACTGCTGAGAAGAATGTGAAATCTTTAGCTGTAGGATTGAATGTTCTGTAGATATCTGTTAGATCCATTTGTGCTATAGTGTCATTTAAATCGAACTGTCTCCTTGTTGATCTTCTGTCCTATTGATCTGTCTATTTCTGAGAGTGGAGTATTGAAGTCCCACAGTAGTATTGTATTGGGGTCTAAGTCTCCCTTTAAGTCCCTTAACAAATCTTTTAAATAAACCGGTGCCCTGTAGTTAGGTGCATATACATTGATAATTGTTATATCTTCCTGTTGAATTGATCCCTTAATCATTATATAGTGTCCCTCTTAGTCTCTCTTAACAGTTTTTGTGGTAAAGTTTATGTTGTCCGATATTAAGATGGCTACGCCTGCTCCTTTTTCATTTCTGTTGGCATGGTATATCTTTTTCCAGCCTTTCACTTTCAGTCTGTATGCATCTTTGTTGGAAAGATGTGTTTCTTGTAAGCAGCAAATAGATGGGTTTTGTTCCTTGAGCCAATCAGCCAATCGGTGTCTTTTAACTGGACAGTTCAGGCCATTAATGTTCAATGTGACTAATGATAAGTGGTCACTTTGCCCTGCCATTTGCCAAAGATAATGTTCTAATATATGCTTTGAATTCCCTGTGATCTTTTGCTGTGAGGTTTCCTTCCTTTACCTTCTTTCATATTGATGACCGTGTTTCTGTGTTTCTGTGTGTAACACATCTTTAAGCATCTTTTGTAGGGCTGGACGAGTAGCGACAAATTCTTTCAATTTCTGTTTGCTATGAAAGGTCTT